ATAGAAAAAATTAGCCGGGCATGGTGGCGCATGCCTGTAGTCCCAGCTACTCGGGAGGCTGAGGCAGGACGATCGCTTGAGCCCAGGAGTTTGAGATTGCTGTGAGCTAAGATGATGCCACGGCACTCACTCTAGCCAGGGCAACAGAGTGAGATTCTGTCTCAAAAAATAAATAAATAAATAAAACGGTTAAGTCACTTCCCTGAGATCCCACAACCAGTAAGTGCAGGAGCCAGGGTTCAAATCCAGGTCCCCAATGGATAGTTCCTTAGAACAAACATTCTCTGGAGAGAACTATCCCTGCAGCTGCTCTCCAAGGGTCCAACTCCCTCTCCCCAGCAAACCGGGCCCACTGCCAGGATATTAGGCTCCCAGTGTGTGTGTGTCTGTGCACGCGTGCTGCGTGTGTGTCTTCTGAAGGGATAGATTTGAATCTCGGTGACTGGGAGTCATTTACCCCAAGGTAGGTCAGAGACCAACATGTTTGTTGTACCTGTGTCCCACAGGCCATGCGGGTGCAGACAGAGATGGAGCTGCGCATGTTCCGCCAGAACGAGTTCATGTACCACAAGATGCGCGAGGCTGCCCTGAACAACCAGCCCATGCAGGTCATGGCCGAGCCCAGCAATGAGCCAGCTCCGGCTCTGTTCCATAAGAAGCAATGAGGACCTGCCTGGTGGGGGAGGGGCAACGTGGCGGGAAACTGGGGAGAGATTCCGGACGTGGTATATTTAGGGGGGGACCCTTGATGAGGAAATTGAGGTAATGTTCAACCTTGTTACTGTGGGAATGTTCTTCCCTGTGTTCCCGGGATCATTTTGGTTCAATTCAACTGAATTCACTTCAAGTTAACTCTGTCCCAGAACAGCCCAACTCCTGCAAATATTTATTGGATGCTCGGCCCTAGCACGCAATAAAGGAGCTTTAAATGTAGTTGGGTGGGGAAGCAAACTAAGCAAACATTTAAAGCACAGTGTAATTAAATGCAGTGGTGAACTATATGGAGGGGAGTGCAGAGGCCGGCATGTGTCTGCGGTGTGTGCGTGTGCACATGGATATGACGGAGCGGGTGATCTCTGAGCTGAGGGTAGCAGATGCCTGGAGTCTCAGGTGGCGGCTCCCCCATCTGTGCAGGTGTCTCTGGGGCTGCTGGTCTCACCTGGGGTCTGGAATATTCAGATCTGGCTGACTAGGATGGGAGGTGTCCAGTTCCCTCAGGTTGGTGTGGTGTGGTGAAGACGGGGCTGTGTCTGGGCCGTTTAGGTTCTACTCGGAGAACGGAAACCTCTTCAGAATGTGCATATGCAGAGAGAGGTGAGGGCCTTGCCCAGACCACCTGAGGCTTCCATTAACATCTGGTTTTCAAGTATAGTTCTAGAAATATTTCTGGAACACACAGAGAGGGAATGTTCCCTTCCCCACTTTCATGACCAAGCCCTGTGGCTCCCTGGGAGTTGGGGGCTACTTGGACAACATCTGAGATTTTTCTGTCCATTTGCCTAGTAGGATGGAAAACTTCACTCTCAGGGTGAAGCTGAGAGAGAAACTTGGAAAAGGACATACCCGGTGATCATGGGTCCAGCCAAATTGGCCCTTGGGGACTTTATTTGGTTACATGTGCCTGGGTGGTCTTTACCAGCTCAGACTTCATCATTGTCCCCAGTGAAGCTCTGTCTCAGTACTAAATCATTGTTCCTTCTGCTTGCACAATTTCTTTCTTTGTTCATGCCCTGGGGGCTTCTCCTCTTCA